AGGAAGGTTGGGCAATCCTACTTCCGTAGTGATACTGCCTCGGAAACCCAAGGAGGGGTCGCTATGAGTCGGGCCGACTCCACGGCACATAACAACAACAACAATATTCCTGTCAAATTACAGAGCTTCCTACCGTCAAGATGTTGAACCACAGAAATGAGGACTGCTTGAAGAGAAAAATTTTGGAATAAGATATAGAGAAGGTAGGATCCACCCTTCTGGAACTGCGGCACCAGACCAGGAAATCACCTGTGTTTCACCAATCAGAACATCCTGGGTTTTAAAAGACACGCCTTTTCACTACGTCATTATGCTAATACTGTTGTTGTTACATGCCATCGAGTTGGACCCGACTCTTAGCGACCTCTCCTTGGGTTTCCGAGGCAGTATCAGTATGGAGGTAGTTACTAATATTAGTAGCTGAAAAACCTTTTTTCTTCATCATCTACCTGGGTCTGTTCTTGCAACTTTGTCCGAAAACCAGCTCTTTTGAGCACACTTCTTAATCTGCGAGAAACTGGAGTACACCTGGGTAGTCCAAGAGTTTTATCTTGGCAATTATTAATGCCACTGTAGTGACCTTAGCAATGAACTAGAAAGCTGAATGCCTGCTAGTGCTAAAACGAAGTCACTGAGCGACCGCAGGATTTCCTTCTTGGCTAAATTGAGAGAGGAGGAGACTGTGGTAAAGAATTCACGAAACAGAAGCCTCTGCTGATTTAGATGGCCACGGAACAGTAACTTCACCGTTTCCGCACATCGTGTGGGGTGTGTGTGTGGGGGGGGGCGGTGATGGTCAGTAATTTTGAAGATCCTTTGTGCCCATTCCCTGTGAGAAAATGTCAAAATTGAAGCTGCAGGATTCCCTGGGAGGAATCTTAGAGATCATATATTTTATTTGTATTTTAATTTACTCATTTTTTAAATTTTTCTAAGGTAATACCTTGTTTTTAAAAAACAAACAATTAATATAAGCTGATCTTGTGACTACTACCCAATCTCACTTTCCACCCTCAACCCACCACCCACTGCCATTGAGTCGATTTTGACTCAGTGTCCCTGTAGGACAGAGTAGAACTGCCTCAGAGGGTTTCCAAGGTTGTAAATCTTACAGAAGCAGACTGCCTCATCTTTCTCCTGCTGGTGGGTTCAAACTGCCGACCTTTTGGTTAAAAGCAGAATGCTTTCACCACTGCGCCACCGGAGCTCTTCTTTCCAGCTCAGAGGTAACCAATGTTAACTAGTTCTTAAGCATCCTGTCACTCTTTTTCTATACAGATACATAAATATATGCAATTTAACGTTATGTATCTTTTAACATGAAATAAATACCATACTGTATGTATTTGCCTATTTTTTCACTTAAAAAAATGTTTGGAGAGCTCTTCTGCCTACATTTTACTCCAACCCTTTCATCTAGTTCAAGCTTCTCATTTTGCAGAAGTGGAAAGCCAAGCCTAAAGTGGGGGGAATGGCTTTCCTAAGATTGGACAGCAACAGAGTAGGGATCCCAACCTACTCAGTACTTTTTAGACAAAGATCAATTGTTATTTACTGAATAGAGTTTGCAGAATTTGAAAGGAAAAATGACACTGAAATCTCCCCAATAATTCAACTTATTTTTTCTCAGTTCAGTTTGTTTTTGTCCAGATGCATAACTTTCTTCTTTACGAAGTGGACCCAAAGCACAAATTCATTTTTTTTCCCTCACTCAATTGGATTTTCTGATAAGGTATGGGTTTGTTGTTGTTGTTAGGTGCCATCGTGTCACACCTGACTCACAGTGACCCCTCTTTGGGTTGCCGAGGCAGTATCACTATGGAAGTAGACTGCCCAACCTTCCTTCAGAGGAGTGGCTGGTGGGTTTGAACCACCAGCCTTCCGATTAGCAGTCAAGTGCCTTAGGCACTATGCTACCAGAGCTCCTAAGGTATGGGTAGGCAAAAGAAAATATACCTATGGCCATATATATATAAGTTTAGCAGATTATATGTCTACATATGTATTTTATAAGAATATCCATGTATAAATAGAGCTAACAGGAGGCAAAGTTATGATAACTTCTTAGCCACAGCCAAACACCCTGAGAGGGTGAGTAGCTGGGCTGGTGCACTTGGGACCATGGTCGTGGGGGACTTCAAGCTTAATTGGCATAACACACTGCACAAAAACATTGTTCTACACCCTACTTGGGCGCTCTGGTAGCATAGTGTTTAAGGCACTTGACTGCTAACCAGAAGGCTGGTGGTTCAAACCCACCAGCCACTCCTCGGAAGGAAGATGAGGCAATCTACTTCCATAGTGATACTGTCTCGGAAACCCACAGAGGGATCACTATGAGTCGGGTCCAACTCGACGGCATAAAACAACAACAACAACATCCCTGGTGAATAGTGACTGGGGTCTTAAAAGCTTGCAAGTGGCCATCTAAGACGCAACAACAGGTCTTTCCTCGTCCTCAGCAAACAAGAATGAAGAAAATCAAACATGCATGGAAACATTAAGTCAAAGGGACTGGTGGACCATGGGAACCTCAGCTTACCTGACTCTGAGACCAGAATGATGTAGTACCGGGTCCCACTGCTAACCACTCTGAAAGGGATCAAAAAGGGAATCCCGGATAGAGTGGGAGAAAAAAGTGGAACAAAAGTCAAAATTATAAAAAGGACCAGGCTTAAGGTCTGAAAGGGACTAGTGAAATCCCTGAGGCTACGGCCCCTTTGAACTCAATCCTGTGACTTCCAGCCAAACAACAGACAAGTCTACAAGGTGAGCAATTACACCAGGTAGGTACACTTCTTAGAACAATCAACCATGGGAGATCAAAAGGGCAGCACTGATGAAGGAAGCTAGCTCAGAGCACAGGAATGCATAGGAAAGAACCCAGGAAAAAAGGTAACTACAGAAAGAAGTGGGAAGAGACTGTTACATTGTGGGGATTGCAATCAAAGTCATGAAACAAAATGTGTATGAACCGTTGAATGGAAAACGAATTTGCTCTCTAAATTTTCACCCGAATGACACACACAAGATAAATAAAATAAATCAGAGTTTCATGTTACTATGAAGTTGCACCACTTTAAACTGTAATGAGCAGTGACCTAACATTACACGGAGTAGTCCAGCCATCTCTTCACAACATCAAGCTGCTGCTATGCCATCTCCTTTCATTCCCTCCCTACTCATTTTCAGGTCTCCTATGACTTGCTCCACCTGTTCACTCTCCTGCTCTCCTTCGGTGCAATTTTCAAGTTTATGAATTTCCATCTCCACCTTTGGTCTCAGGGGGAAGGGAGGGGAGGGATTCCCTTACTCTCCAGGGCGTAGGTCTTCTCAGTGTTGCCCAAATTCCCAAGAGAAGGCCCCAAGAGTCAAGCCCAGTAAGCCCAGGAAACAGGGGGCGCTGGTGGCCACGCCTCAGGGCTCTGTTTGGGAACTCCCTGAATTTCAAGAAGGGAGACTGCGGGATCGTTTGGGGGTCAGAGTGAGGTGCCAGGCACCCTATTCACGTGACCAGGTCCTAGCCGGAAGTTCTTTTTCCCACCAGAAGTGGGGCTGTGGGCTTGTGGCCAACCTCCACCCTTTCAGGGGACTCCCAAGTGTCGCTCCGCAGCCCAGACCGTGACGCGATCCCTTCGCGCCGAGGGCGGGACGTCCTGACGCAATCTCCCGGCGCCCCGAGAAGGGGAGGAGGCGCTGGGTGTGGGGCGGCTCCGGGGCCGGGGATGGCGGCGGCCGCGCCTGCGGCGGCTCCGGGACGTAGAGGAGGAGCCCGCGGAGCGCCGTGAGATGGGCCGGTGAGTGTCTCTGGGAATGGGGGAGGTCTGGCTGGCCGGGCTAAGTCTAAGCCTGAGCTCGGAGCTCCGGAGGAAGTGGCCCCCCGAAGCCCGTTGCCCCACCGGGCCGGGACCCGAGAACTGCGGACAGAGGAGCGAAAAAGGCCGCATCTAGACCCCCGCGCGTTTCTCTCCAGCCTGGCCGGGAAGACGGCCTCAGGCCCAGGCGCCTCCGCCGCTGCGTCCCTGCAGGCCGGGTGTCCGAGTCCTAGGGGCGGGAAGGAGCCCCCAAACAAGGAAGCATCGCTTGCGGGGCCTCGCCCCTGCCTCTGTGCTTAAAAGGTCGACCCCCACTCTCTAATCTCACAATTCCTAATTTCAGGCCCTACCGTTGTTAGAGCTAGGATGGCGGGTTCGCGGGAACCCAGAACACTAGTCTCTTGCGAGCTTCCCCCTGTGCGGTATACCCCCTTACCCTCTCCGAATTGGGATCTCCATCTGGGTTTAGCCTCTTGAGTCCTAGCCCAGCGAGATGGGGAGCTTCGTTTTGGGTTCTGTTGGCAGCTGGCCACAGCGGTTTCTTGCCCCGTTAGCTCCGTTGGGGTCACAAGCTGCCTCTTCTCCTTGAGAAGAAATCTTTATCGAGCCATCGAGAAGCCAAGCTGTCAGCTTCCAACATGTGTTTTGCGCTGTGGGGACCCGGCGCACAAGCTTGCGTCTTTGTTGTCACTCCCGCAGACCTTTGGCATCTTTCAGTTCATTTATTAGCCTGTATTCGCTAGCCTTTCAGTGGCTTAGAGACAGGTTTTCTCTAATGGTTTGGTTACAAGGAACAAGAGTCATTCTGGGATTGAAGATGTGACCCCAATTTCTGTTGGGGATGAAGGAGAAAGCGGACTACTTTTCAGTTACAGCTGCTGGCAGACAAAAGAGATGCATGATTCCTTCCTGCTGTGTAATTTGTGTTTATGGAACTTGTTTTCCTGTGTCTACACCTCTTAAGAACTTCCTCATCTTGCCTGTGTTAGTGGATACATGTTTACCAAAAGCCGGGTGCACCTAACTTACTCCTTCAGTTTGAATTGAGGCTTGCAAGCTTCTGTAGGACTTGGACAGGGCACTTGGGAGTTTCTCAGAGCGCTCATCAGCACTGCTTTTCTCTGTTTCCAGATGTTAAAGCTTCTGTTCTGTGCTCCATATCCCTGTCTTGTGTCTATTGAGGTGTGGACAGTTAGTGGGTGTTTTGTTTCCCCATTATTAGCTACTTGAAGCCCAGGGTAATATTTTCATTTTCTGTCATACTTGTATCAGCAATTGGTCTGAAGTTGTCACTCAGAAAATTTCACACATGCACATACACACATACAGAGCCAATTTTTTTTCACCCTGAAATTTTGTTAATAAGGCTTCCCCTTAAGTGACTCCCCCTTGACCTCTTTTTCTGCCCTAGAAACATAAATAATTGTTCTTTTTCTTCATAGTGCTACTTTTCTCATTAAAATAACCTTCAGGTCTGTGTTTTCATCAATGTTAAGTTAGGGCGAAGTCCATGAGGTTGCTTTTTGTTTCCTTTCTCCCCCTGCTTCCCTTTGTTCACAAGGGAACAGTGTTGAGTCTTTTCCATTTATTTGTAGATTTAACTGAAATTGGGATTGGAAGTCAGTGTAACCTTTGGAGAATTGGCATGGATAGAGAATGAAGAATGTGGTGTTAAGGAAAACAGTGAATGTTGACACATGGAGAATTTTTTCCAGGAATGTCTTCCTACAAATTAGAGCTTAAGAAATGGTTTTCTTCCTATTTAACTGCCTGGGCACTCTAGATAAATGTGTTGTTACTTCTGGAGAAGAGGGCAAGGCAAGGACTTGTTGTGGACTTTAATGTCTTTGTGGCTTTGGAATAACCTTTCGTGATGACCCTGCGGGGGTGTGTGTGTGTGTCAGAGGTCAGATCCTGCTTATTTCATCCATATTTCTCTCTTCTAGGCTCCCTGGCCAGCCGGGAGGAGACTGCTTCTTACTACAGCTGCTCAGAAGCACCACTGGAAGCTCAGGTAATGCAGGTACTTTGGATTCCTTATTGCACAGACACATCTGGGATGCAGTAGTGGAAAAACAGAGCAGAGGGTAATGTTACAGAAATTTCTTCTCAGATCCAAAGAGCTGATATTTGACTGGAAGAAATAGGTGACTAAATTCATGTATATTGAAATGTTCGTACCAAAAACATTCTGTGTGACGTTGGGCAAAAGCATATCTGAAAGCTGACAGTAAGAGGGAAGGAAAGAACTTTTATGATTCATCCAGACCTATGATAGGAATACACAGTCACGTTTGGAAGAATGGAACCAGAATTTTAGGAAGTGGTGTGTAGAGCAGGCCTGCAATGGAAAAGGAGCCATTGGCAAAAAGGAAACATGAAGGAAAAAAGAAGGCATGTTGAAAGTGGTCAATGAGAAGAAAAGAAGTTCTTGCCAACCTAGGGAATAAGAGGTCTGTGTGAGGTCAGAAGGGTTTTGTTCCTTTTTGGGGAGGAGGAGAAACAAGTAAGTTGTAGAGCAAGCTGGTACAGGTGCTGTCTCTGTCATGGCCCAAGTGTGACTTTGGTATTTTGTGAAACAAAGAGGATGCTAGGTTTCATAACATTTTTAGGGGGCAAGTGTTTTTTGTTTTTTTCCTTTTAAAAAAAAAAAAAAAAAGACACAAGCAGACCCCAAGTCTTACTGATACTCGAGGTAGTCCTTGAGGGAGTGGTGATAAGAGGCAAAGGGAGAAGAGAGCTTAGCTAGGCTTAGGGGTGGGGGAGGGTAGAGATAGGTGAGATCATAATCCAAATTAGGCGGGGAAAGGAAGCAAGGATGAGGTCATATGTTCAGGGAAGGAAGATGGCACATTAGTCTTTGGTAGCAAAGAGAAGAGAAACTTCAGGAAAAAGAGCCAGCAGCAAAGGCCATGTGTTCAAATCCCCCTTAAGGGAGAATGCTGAGAAGAATCCTCAGAGGCATGACTAATCCTGTGGTTGTGGAGCCCACAGGTTATTTATACGTCACTGAATGCTTGTCCTTGTATCCCTTGGTGCTTTATGGTTTCCCTGACTGTTTCTTTCATGTCCTGAGCTGGATGAGTGGGGGGACCATCTTTGTCTGTCCCTTTCTCATAGCTCCTTTTCTCCAACTGTCCTCTTTGTTGCATCTTCCTCTGTGGGCACAGTTTTGGGTATTATGGTTCACCCCCAGGTTACTTTTTTTTTTGCCTCTGATTTGTTCCCTAGCAGATGTGGGCACCCCAGCCAGCAGCAGAAAGGGTTGCAGGGAAGCCACAGAGAAGCCCCTTCTGATGCCTCAAGGAGCAAGCCGACCCCTTCCAGGCTCTAGGAACACCACAAAGCAATATGAAACCTGTTCATGAGAGGAGTCAGGAATGCCTTCCACCAAAGAAACGAGACCTCCCCGTGACCAGCGAGGATATGGGGAGAGCTACCAGCTGCTCAACGAACCACACGACCTCCAGCGATGCCTCTGAATGGTCGCGAGGGGTTGTGGTGGCCGGGCAGAGCCAGGCAGGAGCCAGAGTCGGCCTGGGGGGTGATGGAACTGAGGCCATCACTGGTCTGACAGTGGACCAGTATGGCATGCTGTATAAGGTGGCTGTGCCACCTGCTACCTTCTCACCGACTGGCCTCCCATCTGTGGTGAACATGAGCCCCTTGCCCCCCACGTTTAATGTAGCATCTTCACTGATTCAACATCCAGGAATCCACTATCCCCCAATCCACTATGCTCAGCTCCCATCCACCTCTTTGCAGTTTATCGGGTCTCCTTACAGCCTTCCCTATGCTGTGCCACCTAATTTCTTACCGAGTCCCCTCCTTTCTCCTCCTGCCAACCTTGCCACCTCTCACCTTCCTCACTTTGTGCCATATGCCTCACTCCTGGCAGAAGGAGCCACTCCTCCCCCCCAGGCTTCCTCCCCAGCCCACTCGTTCAACAAAGCCCCTTCTGCTGCCTCCCCACCTGGGCAGTTGTCACATCACTCAAGTACTCAGCCACTGGACCTCGCTGCAGGCCGGATGCCCATTTATTATCAGATGTCCAGGCTGCCTGCTGGGTATACCTTGCATGAAGCCCCTCCAGCAGGTGCCAGCCCAGTTCTTACCCCTCAGGAGGGCCAGTCTGCCCTGGAAGCGGTCGCTGCCAATGGAGGACAGAGACAGCGAGAGAGAAATTTAGCAAGACGGGAGAGCGAAGCCCTCGATTCCCCCAACAGCAAGAGTGAAGGCCAGGGACTGGTGCCAGTGGTGGAGTGTGTACTGGATGGACAGTTGTTTTCAGGTTCTCAGACTCCACGAGTGGAGGTGATGGTGCCGGCACACCGGGGGACTCCAGATACAGACCTCGAGGTCCAGCGGGTGGTTGGCGCTTTAGCTTCTCAGGACTATCGTGTGGTGGCAGCTCAGAGGAAGGATGAACCCAGCCCCCTCAACCTGTCCCATCATACCCCTGACCATCAGGGTGAGGGGCGAGGGCCAACCAAGAACCCAGCAGAGATGGCAGAGAAAAATCAGGCTCGAGGCTTCTACTCTCAGTCCCATCAGGAACTGGTGAAACATAGACCTTTACCCAAAGCAATGGTTGTAGCCAATGGCAACCTGGTGCCCACTGGAACTGACCCAGGCCTGCTGCCCATGGGCTCAGAGATCCTGGTGGCATCAAGTCTGGACATGCAGGCCAGAGCCACCTTCCCAGACAAGGAGCCAACGCCACCCCCCGTTTCCTCCTCCCATTTGCCCTCTCATTTCATGAAAGGCGCCATCATCCAGCTGGCCACGGGGGAGCTGAAGCGGGTAGAGGACCTCCAGACCCAGGATTTTGTGCGCAGTGCCGAAGTGAGCGGGGGGCTGAAGATTGACTCCAGCACGGTCGTGGACATTCAGGAGAGCCAGTGGCCTGGATTTGTCATGCTGCATTTTGTGGTTGGGGAGCAGCAGAGCAAAGTGAGCATTGAGGTGCCCCCCGAACACCCCTTCTTTGTATATGGCCAGGGTTGGTCCTCCTGCAGCCCTGGGCGGACTGCACAGCTCTTCTCTCTGCCCTGCCATCGGCTACAGGTGGGAGATGTCTGCATCTCTATCAGTTTACAGAGCTTGAACAGTAACTCGGTTTCTCAGGCCAGCTGTGCTCCCCCAGGCCAGCTGGGGCCCCCCCGAGAAAGGCCTGAGAGGACAGTGGTGGGACCCAGAGAGCTATGTGACAGTGAGGGGAAGAGCCAGTCATCAGGAGAGGGTTCCCGTATGGTAGAGCCCACCCAGCCCGAGTCTAGTGCTCAGGCCTGCTGGCCAGCCCCGAGCTTCCAAAGATACAGCATGCAAGGGGAGGAGGCACGGGCCACCCTGCTCCGTCCGTCATTCATTCCACAGGAGGTGAAGCTGTCCATCGAAGGGCGTTCCAATGCAGGAAAGTGAACCTCTCTCCCAGACCAGGACTGGGGCTTTTCCCCAGAGCTGAGCCTCACCGTGAGCAGGCAGAGGATTTGCACACTCTGAGCAGGGAATGGCTCTCTTGGCAGTGAGATTTGGGGGCAGGGGAGGAGTGAAGGCAGCCTCCCAAGGCAGGGTCTGCTGCTCATTACCCCATGGCATCTTCTCAGGACAGCCCCAGAGGATGCCTTGATGGGGATCAGCAGGCCTGGGCCAAGGAAGGAAGGGGGTGCACAGGATAAGAAACATTCCAAATATCAGGGCCTCCTTGTTCTTTCCTCCCCATCCCTAGCTCCTGCAAGGGGAAAGTCCAGGCTTTGGGAGCAGGTGGCAGAGGGAGGGAGCAAAGAAAGAGCCAAAAATGATGATCCACAGCTTATAGTAGCAGTTAAACTGTCTGAAGTTTTTTCTTCCTTTCTGTTTTGTGGTGGGAGGGCAGGAGGCCCCACAGTTGGAAATAAGAGGGTTCCTACCCAGAACCCTTCTTTTGAGAGATGTGCACTTTAAAGGGTAATTTTGTTACAGATGTCTCTGGCTGGGTTTGTGGGCAAGGAGCACTCTCTACAGGACTCTGCCTGATCCTCTGCTTCAGCCCTTCCCCGTCTCTCCTCACCATTCCTCCCACAAGGCTTCTAGCAACTTGGGGGTCAAGGGAGAGATGAGCCCCTGCAGGGTTCAGAATGAAGTCTGGCCTTGCTGGGGGCCTATCGGGGAGCTTTGTGAGAAAGATCTGATGGCTAGGCTGTGACCGGCTGTAGGAAGGTAGCCAACCTAACAGCTGCTCCTACTCGGCATGCTTGACCCGCTTCGAAATTTCACTGACTCTAGTTGCTAATGGTGACTTTTGAAAGAACCAGTGGACCCTTTTCCCCAGGCATCCACACCGCTCCTTTGTCCCTTGTGCCTAAGTGCCTGTGCTGCCCTCCTGTCTGCTGCCCTTGCCTCCCTGCATGGTGTCTTGCCCTGGGCCTCATTTGCAGCTGCACTGCCCTTCCCCTTCTGCCAAGTGGATTTGTCCACTCTGACTAAGATCTCTAGTTGGGGATGTATAGGGGTCTCCCTGGTTTCCCCTTCATCTATTTTCTCTATTTTTAAACACTCAGAAGGAATCATGTCCCCTCCTTTTCTGCTCCTGAGCAGCTTGGTGGAGAAATAAGGGAATTATGCCCTGGGTCAGGGCACAGACAACTGGCTGGGCAGTGCCCATGCTAGGTTTAGATATTCTTCCATAGTCCCTCCCATCTTACTCCACTGCCTCACCCAGCAGTCAGCCTTCTCCAGGCCATTCTTTCCCACAGCCAGCTCACAGGTTCTTGGATGGTCTTGATAACGTAACAGTTCAAAACCTGAAGTCCCTTAGACTTAATTTTATGGTCGAGTATCCCTCTGTGAATAGTATTCACAATCTTAGTTGGCTCTGTGCCTCTATGTCGTAAGCTTACACTTTCGTCACAATTTTTAGCATCACCTTGGACTTTGGGATTCCACTGAGTATTGGGAATTAGGCTCCCCTACCATCTTTCAGGTTGGGTGAGTGGTGGGTTTTTTTTTTTGTTTGTTTGTTTGTTTGTTTTGTGGGTCTTTAGACTCTTGAAGGCAACTCAGGGTTCTGTCCACCCAGCTCTTTGGTTAGGCTTCTACGAGGGTATGGATCCTGGTGTTTTCTTTATAGACATATTTGGACTGGTCGAGGCCTGACCTGTGATCAGGAGTCTCAAACCTCTGGGCTCTGATCTCTGTTCTGTCAATGACTTAAGGCAAGTCTTGTGACCTCTCGCTCTTTCACTTCCTCCCCAGCTGCCAAATGGGGATGAATACTCTACCTACCTCCTGGGGGAGGGGGAGTTCTGAGAATAGAGTCATTCTTAGTGTTCAGGTGCTAAAGGTTCTCCTGGGGGAACAGAGTGACCTATATGGGCTTGTTGGCTAAAGCCCTACACTCCACTGTTTCATTCCTTGAGAGCAGGTATTTGGTCAGTCGGCTTTTGGGGGCCTTTCCAAAGGAAGCTGCTGACCTGACCATGAGTCAGGCTCCGGTTCAGTTAGAACCAAACACCAACGCTGTGTGGTAAACACTTAACCTTGTACTGCATTTGGGATCATGTCCTTTTCCTTCTTTTTCCCCATTTGCTCTCAATGCTGCTTTCTCTAGTCTTTTTCCTGCAATGGGGGCCTGTGGGGTTGTCTTAAGGAATCTTCTCAGATGACAGCCTAAAGAGAGCAACTCATTCCTAAAGATTACTGTTTGCACAGGTTCTTGGAAGTGTCCTTCCTCACAGGAAGGCTCATCAACTGAATCTAGTGACATGTACACAGCAGACACTCAACAAGGACCACCAATGAAGCTTCCTCGTGTGAGAACACAGGGAGGGCACCTTTATCCAGCCAGATGCGGGCCAAGTAGTTTACATTTAAAAATAAAACCCTTCACTTGGGTTAAAAGTGACTTCCCAGCCTGGTAACTGCCACTTGATCCTGGAAAGAGAAGTTCTTGTGGACCTTGGCAAGTTTGGGCCTGACCTTTCTGCTGCTGTTCCTCTTTGCTCTCTTCCTGGTGAAGCAATACCAGCAGGTCCATGCCATGCATATGTAACATATTAATACTTGATCTTGCTAAGCTGCAGAGATGTCTTTCCTAAAGTATAGTCTCCCAGGAAGAGAAACTCTGTGCTTTAAATACTGGTCAGAGCTGTGGCAATCCCCTTGCCTTTTCCTTCCTCTGGTTCAGTCTGTTCTTCCAGGCATGAGAGAAAAAAGTAACCTTCCTTCTAGGAATTTTGTAAAGTTTGCAAGAGATGTATGTTTTGACAGATGGAACATTTTAGTGGCAAGTTGTTAGCTTTCTAGGAATGGGCAGTTGAAGGAGGCCCCAGGAAGCTCCTTGGAGATGGCAGGATACTTCCAAAGCTACGGATAGAAAGGACTGCTGACTACCGTTACCAGTTTGGGAGAAGGGTGAATCAGGTAAGGGAGGGAGTAGTACATCTACATCTTAGATAATCATTCCTCAAGATTTGTGCACTTGCAGAAATGAGGGTAGGAGGCAAGAGGCCCTAGCAGACTTGGACTGACCCTTCCACATTCTTGGTCCCAGTTGGTCATAACCCAAAGGGCCTGGTTCTGTGCTGCTTTGCCACTGCTGCTGTCTGCTCACTTCCTGCCTGCTCCCTGTCCTTCCAGGTCTTTGGCCACTCAGATTAAATCCAGCCATCATGCCCATTCTGTGATATTCTATAGCAAAGAATGTTGAAGAGGGATAGTATGAAAGGCTGCTGGTGGGACATTGAGTCCAAAGGGATACGGCTTCAGTGCTTGTCAGGTGCTCTTCGGCTCCAGATATCTCAACTGTCTCGTAGAAGAGACAAGCAGGTCCTGATTAATAGCGGGTATCTTCCGTTGTTTGAACTTCTTTCTTTTGTGGTATGTTACATCCTGTTCAAAATAAATGAGGGGAAACCAGGTAGGGTCTGTGTCAGCATCCCAGGGCGGTTCATCTAACTTGTTATGTGGATTCTGGAGTTGGAAGAGAGTTTGAAGTTTGGCCAGAATAGTTCCTGGAGGGGGTTTTAATTTTTTTTTTTTTTAACCGGTGGGCATCATGGGAAACTTAGAGGGAAGCACAAGGTGGTGGTGGTGGTGGTGGCGTGGTTTTAAACCTGCAGCAGGCAGGCATATTAAAAAGAGATGCATGATCACACTGGTGTTGAAGGGTAGACATGAGTTGACTGGGAAAGGGCCTTGGTCCATTGGCGTAACAATAATCTAATTAATTGAATTGGCCATGGGAGATTAGGTTATAGTCTTACCAGCAAAGTAAATAGGGTAAGAGGCCAAGTTTTAGACTAAGCCACACTGAAGCTACAATACTTTACAGGTGGAAAAAAGTGTACACTACAGTTGAAGAGTTGAACTGTATGAAGTTGGATGTTGATCAGGAACCTACTAGCCCTTTGCTGGGAAACTTTCCCTTTCTGGCTTCCCTGGGTTAGGGAGGGTCTCCCACATTATGCAATAATAAAACAAGCATCTGGGTCTTTGCAACTGTCAGTTGATCTTTCAACTCTAGGATCCATCTTTGGACCAAAGGCCTGGTCTGGGCCAAGGATGACACTGGCCCTTGCGATGCTAGAGTCGACTGCACTCTGACTGCATTCTCTCCTTACTTGCAGACTATGCACAGTGCCTGGGGCGGAAGGAGGAGAGGTGGTGTGGTTTGCCCTGCTGAGCCTCCCCAGCAGGAACAATAGTAATAAATGCACTTTTCACACTAAAGGTTTCTTTATTAGTTTTCCTGTTAAGCCTCCATCCTCCCCCAGTAGATTGCAGACTCAAAGTCTGTGTGATCCCAAAGCCATTCCACTGCAAACGCCCAGCAGTGAAGATGGCCTCAAGCTGGGTTCCTGTCTGCAGTGTGTATGGCAGCAGCCCGTGTGCCTTTACCTATTGTCAAACTCACAAGCATTTATTTCTGTCTTTATGACTGTCATGGGGACTGAGGTTCTTTAGAAAGCGAGCTGATGACACGGTGGTTTTGTACCCACCCCCTGGACAGGGAGTTTGCACGCAGTTGTGAGCTGTGAGTGGTTAGTGCATTGCTGGTTTTGCTGTAGGCAGGACTGATCTCTCACTTGCTTGATAACTCGTACTGCATTCAAGAAAGTCCAGATTGTGTTGGGGAAGAGACTGACTGTACTCATGGCACACCTGAAGTATTAAAATAAGGCTGTCCCCTACAACCTTCCTAGTCACACACAGGATCCCTGTAGCCAAAACAGTATATGTCCCAGCTGCAGAGAGCAGACTGCTCTCAGCTTGCACAGCACCTTAGGGGAGGGGAGAATATATGGATAGGGATTGGGGTGGAGAAGGAAGGGTGGGAATTTTGTCATCCAGGTGGCTTTAGTGTCCTGAGGAATTAGAGAAGGACGGCACTGGGGAGGTCTGGATGGATCTGATTTGTGTAGGAGTTCCCTGTAGATAAATTACTGATCCCCCAACTACTATCCCCAGTATGTAATGGCTGAATTAATATGTAATCAACTGCATTGTATCTAAAGCCTTAGAACTAGTCAGGTGCTCCCCCCACCCAATACCATTTCTTACCCTCTAATCCTACCTGATCTTTAACAAAGCATTAATAATTCTAAGGATAATCTCTATTTTGTTGTGCTTTTTTGTAACTGTTTTAAATAAATCAATTTGTACTGTATATTTGTACTTTTGTGAGATCCTTTTTGCTGTTTTACCATTTTAAGTCTCTGTACTTGGGCTACACACAGATTGTATTTTTATTGTTAATGCTCTTCTTATGGATACCTGCATTTAACTTGTGGACTATGTAAACACAATATATATCAATATCTATATATATCTATCTATATAAACTACTAGCTTTTCCTTTTGGTGTTTGCGCCTTCTTCCTATCCCAGCCTTAGATTGTGGCCCTTGGGTGGAGGGTCGTGGGAGTACTTGTATATAAAGCAATGGTGCCTCTTTGTGTGGTGAGCATTGAAAAGCTGACCCCACGATCAGGGCAGAGTGTATGAGCTATTCCTGAAGCACGTCTACGCAGTCTGTTGGTGTATATTTCAGAGAACTAGAAGTCTGTCTGTAGACTTAGATACTAGCAAAATCAACCACAAGGTCTTGTAGGTGGCCTTGCTGTTGGCCTTTCCCTCATTTGTTTTCTTTGCTGACAGTACTGCCAGAAATTGCAGGAATACCTCTGCTCCAATCAGTTATTGTTCTAACTTAGAATGTTTGCCCACTAGTAAGTGGTGAAACACTGAGTTACACGATAGTGACTCAGATACATTTATTGGACACTTAAGTGTCCTAAGTGCTTTGTCTTTGGTAACAGTGATTTGTTTCTGATATTTCCATTTGTGGATGAGGAAAACAAGACACGGGTTAAGTAGCCTGAAGATACATGAGTAGTAAATGCTGGGCAGAGTTTCAAACTTAAGCATCTGGCTCCTCAGCTTGTGTTGATTTGTTGTTTATACAAATTATGTAAAATGCTCAGGATACTCTCTGGCACACAGTAAGTAGTCCACTATATTCAAACCTGTGTATGTTGGGTTTCAGTATGGAGTTCTGTGAAAGACATTTAGATCAATCAAGTACTTGTTTCCTTTAAATGTCTAGCTCTTTATAATTAGCTTATTAACAAGTAAGTATTCTTCAGGACCAAAATACTGTATTTCAAGCCTCCTGGAATGAACCCGTTTGGTAGGAGTCAGTCAGTTAGCACTGTTGAACAGCCTTCAACCTATGGAGGTCAGAGAGAAGTTGAAGTTTCCTTGTTATGTTATTGGAAGAAGTCCACATTCTTGGCATAGTTATTTTTCTGGCTACAATTTAACTAGGGCACTTCCTTCTGGACCTCAAGAGCTATAATTATCTCAACTGTATACAGCACTTGGTGCAGGCTGAGGATGGTTCTGTGCTTGTTCTGCATCAGCACAGCAACTTTTAGAAATGACATCAGCTCGTCTCTTCCTTCGAGCCATACAAATGCTGTCTTTTTGCTCCAGCCACAACCACTTCTGACTTGAGTTCTCATGTCACCTTAATTCTGGATTTTCCTAAGGTGGTTTTATTATCCTATCTTGGCGCTGGGGAGTAAATGAAAAGATGGCTTACCTCTTCTCTCAAATATGAGTTCCTTGCTACAATGGACTTCAATACTGCAGCCTTATCTATGAACATATTTCCTAGATGCAGCTGAGTGCTTGCTGAGATAGTAATTTAAATGTCTGACAAACTGAATTCATCTGGGAAAGGTAGCCAGCACCGTACTGCAAACGTTTCATTAGAAAATGCCGGTTATGGGGAAAGCTGCCTACTACTTTGCATTTGAAAAATGTACACTAGATTTAAATAGCCCTTGGGACCATAGATACCTTCGTTATGGCTGCAGAAATTGACCCTCAGGAGGTCAGCATCAGTTCTTTCTTTAGTTTCACTTTCATAGTTAATTCCTCATCAACTTGTAAAGGCTCAAAGAAGGAATCTGCTTGGATAGGCCAAGTTGAACAGTACCCTCTCCCAGAAAAGAACAGTCCTCCAACTTCATTGCCTGAAAACTTTCACCCAAGGTCTCTCTGAGATCACTTCAGAAACAGGGAGAAAAGCAGAAGGCCAATAAAGATAAAATTTAATTTATTTGCCCTCACAACTTCGTGGGCCAACCAAGGTCCCCCTACATTGCTATCAGCATGCCCTACAGCAGTGGATTGGGGAGTCCAGGTTCCTGGAACACCTGCTTCCCTTCCCAGAGCTGCTCTGAGCGGGGTCCCTCCTGATCCCATCACGTGCTCCCACATGCAAGAAGTGTGCGGTCCACCTGCTACACCCCTGGTTCTGCCTCTGGCAGTAAGGGCGGAGCCTTGTGAGTGGCTGCCGCACTGATCCTTGTGGCATGAGTGGGTAGATGGTCAGGCGGGAGACTGTGGTTCAGTGCAGGGAGCTGTTGCTCTGCTCTTCAAAGGCCATCTTGCCCAGGAGCTGGCTGTCCAACTCCACCCCACTCACAGGCAGCTGGAAGAAGTTCATTTCAGCTGCTAAGGCTGCCATGGCAGAAGGGTCCTGGCCAAACTGAGCTCGCAACATCATGTCCATTTTTTCCAGCCGCCTCTTGAGCCGTTTGGCCTCCCGCTCCCGGATGAGCCGGGCCTGCCGCTTCTCTGGGGTTTCATTGGCCCGCTTTAGCCTCATGGCCTCCCGATCCCTCTGCAGCCGGCGAGCCCGCTGCTCATCTGTCTCCTGCATGCGCTGTAAGCGCTTGGCTTCGCGGTCCCTCATGCGCCTCACCTCCCGCTCCTCGGGGGTCTCATTGTCCCGCCGGCTCTTCTTGGCCGTACGCTCTCGTTCCAGCCGCTGTAGCCGTACTTCTAAAGGCTCGTTCTGTCGACGTAGGGCCCACTTACGTACGCTGGGGGTCTGAGCTTCCAGTAGCTTGCGGTAGGCAGCACAGTTGTTGCACACAAGCAGAATTCCCGCAGGGTACACTAGAGGATTAAAGGCAATGTCCTTACCCTCAGCACTGGAGGGGCCCTCATTGGTTGGTGGTAGGGATTCCATATTAAGTACTTCAGGAAGTTTCTCACTGGAAAGCAAACATTTTGGACGGTTAGTGACTTCCAGCAGAGCTCTGGCACTGTCTCCTTTATCCAGCTCTGCTGTACTCTTTACCTACCAGGTCAGTTGCTCCAAGTTCACCACTAAGGATCAGCATGAATGCCTGAGAGACTTCCTCTTCTGCTTCCCACCTTTTTTCCTGTTTGGGCTAGGGTGTCTAAACCCACTGCCATTGAGTCAGTTCCAACTCATAGCGACCCTACAGGACACAGTAGAACTGGCCTCACAGGGTTTCCAATGGTGTCAATCTTTACAGAAGCAGACTGCCTCATCTTTGTCCTGTGGAGCGGCTGGTGGGTTTGAACTGCCAACGTTTGGGTTAGCAGCCACTTTTTGTTAGCCACTACACCACCAGAGTTCCTCTAGGGTGTCTACCAAGTTTTAAAGCCCACTTGGAATTAGAGATCAAGCAAAGTGCTACAGCAGCCCATCAGAAATCCGATGAACCCTTACAATTGAAGTATTTACTCATTCCAGAATGATGGTGTTTGATAAAAGCTGTGCGGGAGGGCAGTCCTGGGGGAATGAAGAGTTCTTGAGATGGGGGCTTCCTTCAGGCAAGGAACAGCCTACCGACTCAACCTCTTCCCACCCTGGCACTGCCAACAATATAAAGGCAGAGTGTACTAGTCAAACAGGACTAGTACACAATGTTTACTTAGTCCCAGCCTTTTAGACACAGTGAGGTTGTCCTCTTACAAGGTTCCTGCCAGCATCCGGTAACTTCTTTCTCTGTCCTTTACTATGAGTGTTCTTGGACTTCCTCACATGTCTTTCTAGTGGAAAATAATCTGATAGGGGATTGAAAATATTATTCTGATACAGGAACCCATTTCTGTCTGGGGATATCTAGTGGAATGAATATATTCACTAGCCTACTTACTTGTTTCCAACAGGTCATGAGTCAGTTTTCTTGCATACCCTATTTCTTGCCCTCACTTTGACTTGGGCAAGCAGAACCCACACCCAGTAGTTTGCTCCCATACAACAGCGTTAGATTCCCAGCTAACCTGTTAAAGGTGGCATGGCTGGTGAAACGGGCTCCACACACAGCACAGTTAGACCTCTGGTCTTCGGAGTGGATTAGGAGGTGGCGGCCCAATGACCCGGGGGAGCTAAGGGCCCGGCCACAGACAGGACACATGTAGCTCTTGGCGCTCACCACTGCTGCAGTGTGCTGTAGAACAGAGCCCTAACTTTAATTTCAATCTCATGCCACCTCCAAGACAGTCAACACCCACTTAGAAACGACTTTCTGGAAATGCCCCCTGCCTTTAGTCTCTGAATAAAGGATTTGCAGCTAGTGTCTCTGTTTAGCACCTGTTAACGGTGAGGGTCTCTTGTGTTAGCTGGCCTTCCATTCAGACCATTGCTCTGATTCTACTGGCTTGGGTTCTGACTACCTTCTGGGACACATGGCTGGCTTGAGCAACAATGGGACTCCAGAACCAGAGCCTGCCTTACAGGCTGAGGAGAATTCATACTCAGGATAATTTCTGTCTACACAGCTCACACATTAAGGGGGCAATGAAGGGCACTCTGAGAAGATGGCTGAAAATTTTGTTACCAAACAGGTATTTAAGTGTCCTGCCTTTTCTTCAGTATTTCTGCTCATGAACCAACTATCTTTATGGTAAAATCCAGGCTACCATGTGGTGCTGATGCCTTTTCAATACATGACAAGGTACAAGTGTGACTGGATCAGGGCAGAAAGAACACACAAGTCTGTCTTATTCTGATCCTTCATTAATACTAACTTCCACCAGTATTTCAGAAACATTTAGATGAACTAATTTTCATCTTCTTTAAATCAAAGCCCTCATTATTAACAGATGTTAATTTCTGTTTCACAATTTAGAATATGCATTAAATTTAGAACAAAAAATAAATAAATAAAGATATTTAATTTCCATGGGAACTTAATTTCTGCCTGGGAACTCAGAACATATTTCCTCAACATATCCCACTTATTTTCTAAATAGTTCTGAGGACTGGAGAGGAGCTTTAGTGGAGGCAATGGCTCAAGGTTCCTTCGGGAGCTGAAGGCAAAGGCCAAGGCAGGATCTGGGCACAAACAAGGCACTGGCGCTCAGTGTTCCAGGGCATACAGCTCCCCACAGCATACCTGATACACGTGCGCGATCAGCTGCTCCCGACTCCCACAGTCTAGCTGGCAGAGGGGACACTGGCAGAGTTCAAGCAACGGGTCAGAATTCAAATTCTCTGTGACCTGCAATTCAACAAATAGACAATTCCTGAAGACTGTTTACCACATTCTTCCCTGCCCCTACCTCTTTTAATGGTATCCTGTTAAATGGAACCTAACTTCATAGCAGATCTTATTCTTAGATCCCCATTGTGGGCTGAAGGAAAAGGTAATAGAGGAAAGGAATTAAATTTGCTCCCCCATTCATTTTGTACAAGGCTTCCTGACATGAGGACCTTGGACTGCCCCAGAGAAAGCTAATCTATTTTTCTCCTAAGGTCACCTGCAGAGAGACTAGCTTCCCTCCTGCCATCCTTCTTACAGAAATCCTCAAGAGACAATCCAGTGAGAAGATGGCACCTCAGGTGACACTTTGACTTAAATCTGCAAGCACATACAAGCATACCCTTGGGAAGAAAGCTAACAGTTTTGCAAAAGTGGACAGGCAAGGAAGAAACTATTCTGTCTGGAAAGGAGTGGAGAGCCTTAGGAAGGAGAGTTGTGCAGGGTATAGTGATATGTAGATGGAAAAGAAAGGCTGGTTGTGATGAGAATTGTGTTGTGTGAGGTTTGGAGTCTGCCAGAGGCAAGACTGTTATATCTGGACGAGAAGCATTAGAGCCGAAGCAGGGTCGGGGTTCCAGCCTCAAGCGCCGTCTGTCACTTGCCTCATGCTCCACCACTTCGTTCACACCAACAGGCTGCTCTGCGTTTTCTAACTCTTTTTCCACTTTGACCAGCCCTCCATCTTCCTCTGATGTGTGGGAAGAGACTTCATCTTGGGTGGTTTCCTCTTCATCACCCTCACTGTCACCTAGAACACACAAATTGGTCTGGTCACTTGTTCTGATTTTTACATGCATACATCCTGAGCTGCTTTCCATTTTAGAGTTTGCAGCTATGATAGGAAACATTTTCAGATCTTCCATAATACAGCTTGTATCAGTGTTTCATTAGGTACAAATCATGTTATAGCTGTTGCTTATAATGCCATGTACAGAGAAAATGTGAGGCAAACTGCATTGGAATATGGTTAATTGGCCCTGTACATTATCATAAAAATCATCCTTTTTACACATGGTTCCCACATGCCTCACACTTCAAATCACACCTCCCCACACATCTCATGCCATGCTCATTCCCACACACACCACCACCTTTGATTTACCAACGCTCCTTATGGACTTTATTACTTACTTTTCTCCATTATCTCTTACATACTGTTCTACTCCAAGTCCTACTGGTTTATTCTCTCCCAACAAGCCCCACAGCACACTTACAGAAACACCAAAAACTTTTTTTCTTCTTCTCGATAAAGAAGGCAGTAATAAAATGTCATTTTATAGGGAAAGGACCATTCAGTACAGCGGAAAACCTACCACAGCAAGCAACCTCAGGCAGTTTGTTGTGGTATTTTAACTCACTGTTCTGACTCTAACAGTAACACAACATTGTAGGCTAAATAAGTCCATTGTTTTGTTGGTTCTTTGGATTATCTGATGGATAACTAAATGCATTGTGTAGGAAACAGGCCATACTTTATTTTAAGGATGAAACATAATTTCTTGTGACTAAGGTAAGAATTAAGTTTGTTTTAGTTGGGGTACAGGATATGGCTTTGGGGAGGTCTGTCCATGGCTATAAGGAGTTCTGGTGGTGCTGCGATCAAGGCATTGGGCTGCTAACCAAAAAGGTTGGCGGTTCAAGCCTACCAGTCGCTCCCTGGGAAAAAGATGAGTCAGTCTGCTTATGTACAGATAGATAGCCTTGGAAACCCTATGGTGCTCGCTGAGTTGGAATCGACTCGATGGCAGTGGGTTTGGTCCATGGCCATATATCTTCGAGGTTTGTTATCTATTACTTATATAACAAACCAAGAAAAACCAAACTCACTGCTGTTGAGTCAGTCCTGACTCATAGCGACCCCTCCTTGGGTTTCCGAGGTGGTATCTCTATGGAAGTAGATTGCCCAGTCTTCCTTCCAAGGAGTGGCTGGTGGGTTTGAACCACCAGTCTTCTGGTTAGCAGTCAAATGCCTTAGGCACTACGCCACCAGAGCTCCTCCCACTTATACACTTATGTAATAGGGGGAAAAAAAATGAAACAACAAAAGAAATAGAGAGACAGAGAAACAAGAAAGGGTATTCTTTTGGAAAAGAAAGAAAAAATACTAGTACCTTGAAGATCACAAGAGGAAGCCAAACTTAAGGCAGCTGTCAGACCTTGCCCCTTCCCCAACCCTACTAGATCCCTGACTCTTAAGCCTGACTGTGTACAAGAAAGAACACAGTAGAGTTTCATCAGGCTCTGTGCATCAGCAGTGAGACATAGCTTTCCTAGCTAACAATGCTTATTGTCTGTTTTCTACCCTCCTTTGCATAATTTTTAAATCCAACTGATATCTGGGCAAAACTGGTTACATTCTTTCTTCATGAGAAAGTCCAACCAAATTATCTGCTTGTAGCTCCATGTGTCTCTACTAGATACTCCAGTTGGTTGGTGGACAGGATTTAAACTCTGGAAAGATGTGTGTGTGTGTACTTTATTCCCTAGTCCAAAGCTTCCTTTAGTTTGAATTCATAATAATAATGAAAGATTGGCACAATTAAATTGTACCATGATTTCTCACCATTTTCTTATTTGAAATACTTCTGGGGTTAGTCTAAGACAAGACTGTATCCGATGTATTTTTGTGATTTATCAGAAATCCAAATATATGTGAGTTTGGTTTTGTTTTGTTTTGACTAGATAGATTAAATAGGTACTCTGTGTAGAGGGATGGCGCATCTTCTTTTCCATAACAGAAACCTACTAGATTCGTATAGATGTTGTCATTCCCACCTATTATTCGAGAAATGGGTGGCTCCCACAGGTTTTTCAGAAATAGTTGAGTTTGTTTTTCTGTACCTGAGCAATTATTCCTTTGTTGCTAAATTATTACTCTGGGTGGAAACTGTAGTTCCTAGAAGGTTAAAGAATTCTCTCCTTCTTCATTCTCCCCCATCCCCAAACATGGAGATAAAATCAGAAATGTCACTCTGAAATTGACACTAATAATAACCACTATCCAATGGAGGAGATTAGTAAAATGTAGAATTCATCCTAACAAATAACACATCTAAAAATGTACTTGTTCAGGCAGGTGGAACAGACCATCCATGAGGCTCAACTTGAACTACCCACTGTCTTTTTCATGTCTTAACCACATGAACGTACCTAGAACTTGGCTGTGGAAAGACCTCAACATTAGCGGTTTTATGCTGCAAAATCTCAGTAAGCAAATTCCCTTGTATAACATTAAAACTGGGCCCTCAAGCAAAAAATTTCATTAATGCCACCTTTATATTTTACTAATTATGAATATACAGATTCTAGGAGACTGGTTTATTTATTTTTTTCATCTGACCTAACCTAGGGGCTCTCTGAGCAACAATTACTTCTATGCCCTTACCTCTAACGACCATAACAAACCTATTTGTACATGGTACTGTGCCAAGGACTGTCGTCCATGAGTCAAAAAGAAATAATGCCAAACCTGTCCTTTCTCTCTATACACCTTAGGAACACCTTTGGGGACACTGAGAATCCATGTATCTCCTTCTTTATGTCTTCCTCCCAACCCCCATGCACAATCCCCAGAGCACACACACTCTGATAATTCTTCTCCCATTGCCCTGAGTCATTACCAGAAGGTGCAGAACTCACTGCTACTGGAGTCCTGATCTCTTAGTTGTTGGATAGCTTGTCGCTGACTGCCAAGGTCTCCAGGAAAATCAGTTTTCATCATCGCCTGGCGGGCTTGCTCTTCTAGCCCAGCAAATACTTGATCCCCTGGTGGTCACAAGGAAAAATAGTCAGGCCACCAGCTGGGCAGCACATCCCCAGGCAAGCTGGTTGAAAGGTCAGACCATTCAAAGGTAGGAGACAGGCAGGTACCCTTTAGTGGGGTCATTCTTCTCCAAGTCAGCTTGCTGTCTCCAACAGTTTCTGGGCACAGCTACTCTTCCTGGGCAGTAGGCCAGATGCTCTACGAAGCATCACTTGCTTCTCTTAAAACCTCCTAGTCTTGACTTCTTTCAAAAATGACCAGTTGCTACTTTATAAATTTAACTGCAGAATCTCAATTTTCTTGACTATAAACATGTGCTTCAGGAATCTTTCTAAGCAGCAAGCTCTCTAATCCAATCTCATCCACTCTCCTTCCAAGACATGCTCTGAAGTTCTTCCTTGGCTGTCTTTTTAATATCTATCAGAATTAGCCATGAACAAATCAACAACTGACTGAATAATGGACTAAAAGGAGAACATAAATGAACTTCTGTGGAGGAACAACCTTCCTGAAACATCAACTAATTTACAATAAATAATATTTCATCTTTCTTCCTTGATCCAATAAGGTCTTTATTATTATTATTATTATTTTATATAGGGTATGCAAAAGCTCTGGACTTATCCTTAATTATGCTTTTACTTCTGGTGAACTCTGCCTGGGATCTATATGGTTATTGAAGAGTTAACATTTAAGTGCTCTTTTATTTCCAAGAGGCCAGGCATAAGGAGAAAAGAGAGTTGGGTTTCTCAAGGTTTCCATTTTCTCTGTCAGAGTGGAAACTATAGTCCCCACTCCTCAGCCAGCAAGAGAGTATAATGAAAAGCTCTAGTGAAACGTTTGACAATGGACTAGGACATTTCTTACTGAGCAGAGAAGACAAAGTAAACAGGCTTAGGTTCTGAGACTGGATACAGTGATGGAGGAGGAAAGGACTGGTGAATTCACTTGCCCCACTAGTCCTTGGGCAAGAATAAACGTGGCATAGGCTTCATCTAATTCACGTGGTCATTCATTTGTTCAGCAAATACTTATTGAGCATTTATTATATGCTGAACACTACTAATAATTACTATTTGTATTTTCTGGTTCTAAGCTCTATGTTAAGTGCTTTTTATCTGTTAACTTACTTTAATCCTCAGCAAACCCCAGTGTGGTAGGTTTTATTACCACTGTTTAACAAGGAGAAAACTGAGGTCAGTCTATGGTGGGATGAGGGATTCACACCCAGCTCTGTCCAACTCTGATGTCCATATTTTTAACTGCTTTCTAATAAGAGTTATAAGCAGGTCAGGAGGTTCATCTGAATGGTTTTGCTAAAAACAAGTGTTTGTCACTGAATGAGAAGAATGGCTCTTATTCTAGTTGTTAATGTCACCTGATGCACACAACTCAAATATCACAATAATCTTCTCAGGGCCAGTATTTTACAAAAGGAAAAAATGATGGTTCTACTACCATGTGATGAATGACCATACCTGGGTTAGAGCAGCTAATGTTAAGGATACTATGATTGATACTGTGAGTGGGAGGAGAGGGTAGCTACTGCTAAAGTATGCTCCTAGCTACCAGGCCTGAGGGGAAAATAAGATGCTTTCAAGTCCATCTTTACAATACAAAAGATGACTGGATATAAATTACTGCTAGGGAAAGCAAAATATGAATTCGGTGTTATAGTGTTTCCTCTTTTTTCTCTGCAGAAGTGTAATATTTAATTTCTCTATGCTGGTTCCACTGCAACCACAAGATCATGACCAACTGGAATAAGCATCTCCCTTCTGGGTAGGTGCATGTTTTTGGACCTGGTGGCCATGGCCAGACAAGGCATTAAGAAACAAGTTACATACTAGCAAGTAATTACCAATCTGCAGACCATTCTCATCAATGACTGGTCGCTAAAGATACCAGGCAGAGATACGTGGGTTGCTGCCAGCTAGGTTTAGAACATACTAAATACATACAATTAATTTATTTTCCTTTTTGAATAGGGAACCACCACTGGATTAGCAGAATGGCATCTAAAGAGATACACTCCTTTCAAGATCAGCCAGCAATTCAGTTTATTCCCCATTAACTTACGCTGAAAATCTATTCTGTCTATTGATGTTGTCTAAATATATAGGCCTTCACGGAACAAAGAAGAGTCTGTTCAATACAACTTCCCTAACTAAGGCTGTGGCTGGCAATCTCATCTTGGATAGCTGGGAAAAATTAATCTGTTGTTTCTTCTCAGCAGTTTTGAAAGAAAATCTGTACTTTTGTATTTTATTCTATTCTTGACTTGGGAAAAGGGTTAAGCTAAACTTTATTCTTCGGGGCTATTACTATTTAAATAAAATAAATAAATAAAGCAAAACATATAAAAACCATTTTTAAAAAAGTGCTTTTAGCACACTTCATAGTTAAAGATATATAAATGATCTTCTAGTAACCACTATTTACCAAATCCCCAAATCCCCAAATCTGACAGTGTGGAATTATCCTTTCTTAAGAAGGCAAAGAGACTTGTTAAAAGTTTGCCATGCTAAACTCAAGAATAATGTGATCCATAGAGATACTAGTGATTAAGAAGTGTTGTAGACCTGCCTGTTTTTATAATGTAAGATTATTATTTCCTTCCATCTTGAGAATGTTGGAATAGGTTTAAAAAAATTCTCTGGTCTCTAGATATTAATGGAGGACAATCCCCTTATTTAACAAGGGTGTTTATCTACTAATGGTTGAGAAAGAGTCAACTAGGCTCCACCGTATAAAGCAAGATGCTACTTCTCTCTCTCTCTCTCTCTCTCTTTTTTTTGGGGGGGTATGAAATCAAGGTACTATTTGTCTCTGATTTGGCTAGTTTTTCAGACCAGTAACAATAGGTTAATAGGTTACACTAGCAAGTTTGTAGAATGGATGAAAAGTTGGAGATGAAAGTTATTATAAAGGCAAAGAGTTTATAATTCTAGTTCTTGGATTCTTGGTATAGTTAAATAAATGCAATTTCAGGTTGACTGAACTCTTAGTAAAGCAGCTGAAACGTTCCAAGAGAGCAGATACCATGTTTAGAAAAAATGAGCTGGTGTTGGGAGCAAGGCACTTAGGATTCCATTTCTAGTTGACAGTCTCTCTAACCCAGGGTGCTATCACATGGTGGGAACACAGCCATTTACCTCAGAAGGACTGAATGAAGACAAAATGAGCTGTGCTTTTTAGAAGAGTAAGGACATTAAAGGCTCTTCCCTTTTCTCTGTGAAAAACTTTTAATGGAAAGTTTTTAGTTTCTGATGTATTTTGCAGTCAGAAAGCAAAAGTTTCTTAAGGAAAAAATTTCCTTTTCTTAGTGGTTTGCTTTAGTTCAAACACGCCAAGTGAAAATGTGAAAGTTACTGTGTTTTTAGCCTCTCTAGAAACAGCTGACAGACATTTGTACTCAATAGGGAGTAAAGTAAGAGGTGAGCATGTCTAACGGAGATTTCAGTTCATGAGCAGTTTCTACGTGACTTATAACAATTCTTCCAGGGTTTTATGCCAAAAGCTCTGCACTTGAGTATATTAATTAAGGAAAGTGAGGAGAACACAAGAATCTGGATAGTTGTGGGGAAAGGAGAGATCATGCCAATGATTTAGATACAAAAACAGTCCTGAAGAAAACCAAGTATATGCCCATCGGCTGCTAACGTGGATCCGACAAATGCTGTTGGGCAACAGCAATGGGATTCTGAATACATTCTTTTAGGCAGACTTTTAGTTTCATGTCACACAATCTTCTTTTTCTTCCCAGAAGGCAGATCTAATGAAGCTCAGGTATTACTTGACTCAAGTGACAACTGGCTTTGACATTTAAGCAAACCTTCTGCAGACTTTCCTGTCTCCCAGAGCCTAAGTCCATGCCGTTAACTTTAAATGGACAGCCAGCATTAGTCTCAATATGTTTGATTGGTTCCATTTTCACTGCAAGGGAACAGGAGACTCAAGTGGTCAGAAGACTGAAATCACCCATTTCTACATGCCATTTTTGCCATGGGCAATGAGAAAATGATCTTTCAAAAAAGCTACTGCCAGCTTCAGTCCCCAAATAGTAAATAAATAGGTCCTCAGAGCCCAGTAAATCTCAGTGTCATTATCTGCGAAGCCTTCATCGTCCCCTATCCAAATGCATCATTGGAAACAGTATTTCCTTGGAAGCCTACTATTTAGAAACATCTGAACTCTTCTTTCTTAGCACCAGAGCAAAGACCCTCTGATGGTCACCACTGAAAAGCCTATGAATTCCCACCCACTCACAATAAATGTCCACTCCCTCAACTCTGAAAACTGTTATTTCTGCAGCTGTGAATGTGTAATATTCTCCTGTTCTTCAAGGCGTGTTGGTGCATCTGTTTTCCACCTCCAGTGCCAGCTCTTCGTGGACTCTGACTATGGTGGGAGGAGATGCATCTGATGTCTGTTGTGTGGATGCAGGCACAGGCCACACAAGACTTTACTGGCTCCCTGCCTTACCATAATCACGCCATCATTCCCACCAGCTACTTTCCTTGGACCGATAGTTTTTATAGGTGAATGCCCAACTCCTATGATTGCCTTGTTTGTGAACTCATCATCTCTAATAAGAGTATCTTTTTCTGCCCTGCCTTCCTGGGGCCACATCTGTTTCCCTCTCCCCCACCCAATCAATACTCCTCTTCATCCACAGAGAAGACAGCAATCCTCTTCACCCCTGGGTTGGATTATCTATGCTAGAGATACTTTATTTTCCTTCCTTTGACAATCCTCAAATTTAGGTCCACTAAATTGTACTGTTTTAGCAATAATTTATAAATCCTTCCTAAATCACTCACCTTTATGTTAAGCAGCCTTCCACATCAACCTATTCCAGAATATACTCCTAGAAACATCTAATTTATTTCCTCTTACAAAACTTTTCCAGAACTTGAATTGTAGAGTTCATTGTATATGGAGGTTTACTACCCTAATTTCATTCATCTACAAGGTGTTGAGGGAGCTCTGGTGGCATAGTGCCCAAGGCACATAACTGCTAACCAGAAGGCTGGCAGTTCAAATCCACCAGCTACTCCTCAGAAGGAAGGTTGGGCAATCTACTTCTGTAGTGATACTGCCTTGGAAACCCAAGGAGGGGTCGCTATGACTCGGATTCAACTCGAAGGCAGTGAATTTAGCTTTTTGTTTTTATAAGGTGGTGATACCCTCTTAATTCTTTGTTTGTTCTGTGTTCTCCCCTACTCTTAAATTACCCAATAAGATAAGAGAAAGTACATGGTGCCTGGCAGATAGTCTGCTTTTAATAAATGTCAGTGCTCTTACCTGAACTCCCTGCCTAGCCTATCTTCTCAAATGTAGGATTTTTCCCTTTATATTTTTTTCATATTATACCTCTGAATTCTCTTCAAATATTGTTGCACTTGATTCAGTCAGTCCTCCATAATAATGGGAAGCTATGTGCCTCTTTTATGAACATTTGGGTGAGAATGCTTATCTCCCCAGATCATAAGACACTGTTAATCATCTCAAAATTTGTATAGATATATTCATGTTCATTTAATAGGCATTCTTCAACACCCTCTATGAGCAGTGCTAAAAGTAGAGAGGGATGTATAAGGAAATGTATATGGGACATAGTCTGTGTCCTCTAGAAGTTTACAATCTAATTAATGAAATAAAACATACACATGAAACTGTTAAGAAACAGTGCAAGGCAATAGTGTACAGTTGGTCTATTTCCTGTTTCTTCCCCCATATGAGGATACATACTGCTTCACAGACACTCTACTTTTCCTGTTTAAAAACCTTCAGCAGCTCCTTACGGTCTACAAAATGAAGTCTGAATGTGACCTGGCATTCAGTCCTCCACAGTATAGAGTCACACATTTCCAACCTCATGTCCTCTGACTTCTGGACAAATGAAACTGCTTCATAGAGAGTCTACTCATTCTCTTAATATATCATACGCATTTCCTCATTGTTTTGCTCACCTGACTGTCCCCCTCCCTTCTTATTATTTCTTTATTTTTAAATTTACTTTCTACCCTCTAACACCCAGTTAATTAGGAGTCCCTGAGTGGCACAAATGGTTAAATGCTTGACTTACTAGGTAAAAGGTTAGTGGTTCAAACCCACCCAGAAGCACCTTGGAAGACAGGCCTGGCAGTCTGCTTCTGAAATCCACAGCCTTGAAAACCCTAAGGAACAGTTCTACTCTGCATATATGGGGTCACCATGAGTTCAGAATCAGCTTGACAGCAACTAACAACAACAACAACAAGACCCAGTTCAGGTTCATGATCTAGAGCCTCTTCTATCTGGTGCTCCCTTGCTATCTCCGTCCTTCCTTGTAATGTCTTTAGTGCACACAGTTGCCAACATCCCTATTTAGGACTTAGCATATACTATCTCGCATTTTTACATACTATATTTTAGATATATATCCGAAGCTATATAATGATCTTAAATATCTTAGATCATCTTACAGCTCTAGCATTTACCACAAAGCCTTGCACAGAGTAGTATTCTTAAGGATGAAATCAAGTGCACGTACCCTAAGACAGGTTTCTAAATACCTACTCTGACAATGAGACATACTTTACGATCACATTCAATACCTTTAAACCCTTCCTTCATAAATTATAGAAAACCTGTCATCCTAAATTTACTCTTCCATTCCAACCCTCAACATTCCCAGGTTTCAGAAGACAAAGCCCAGTACTCACAATGAACTTTATTTGGATTTGTCTGTTTCCGACGGGACATGTTTCCCTGATCGAAGAGCTCTGGCCTTTCCCAGTTTCACGACTGGATATGTTACTATCTTCTTGCAAGGTGCTGACCTAAAATGAAAAGGGATCATTGCTAATGCATGTAATTTTGCCCAGAAATTATATATAAAAAGACTTTTAAAACTAGCACCTGAATATGTAAACCTCACCAGTTATAAATAATTGAACTAATGATTGAAAGAATGAAATGAATAAACCCCTAGCACAATGTCAAGGTACCAAGAAGTTTAAGTGAGAGAGGCGACTTCTTCAGAGGATTTAGAGAATTCCACTCTAAATCCATCTGTGAAATCCAAAATACTGTGAAGTGATCATGACCAAAGTCAAAGGATGGAAAAGGAAGTAAAACTTGGGCAATGAGCATTAGAAATACTGTGAGCTCGGAGAGATAATCCCCATGGATTGTAAAAGGAAAAGGAAGCCAAAGAGGGTGGCAGCTCACATGTCACATGCCCACTGGAAGTCAAACACTGCAATCTGCACCAATGGAAGCTTCCAGATGTTTTTTCAGGAAGTTATCTTGCCTAGAGGTGACAAAGGTATCACATCCCTGTGAGACAGGAAATGTCTCAAAACTCTGAAACATCTGTAAATGAAAACAGCATGGGAAATAGAACCTCTGTCTAGTGATGCAGGCACAGTGCTGGGCACTGTGGATGACAGGGCACTAAAATAAATCAGACTTCCATTGTCAGAGATGGGCTCTCACATCCACATTGTTGAGTACTAATTCAGCACTCCCACGTGGAACATCACCCTGTGCACCAGGCCTACTCACATGTTACGGAGTGATGGTCAAAGTTGAAACTACTGCCTCTTCTCATCTAGCCTCTACATAGCAAAGAGACCAGTGGGAGGATCAGAGAGAGAAGCTCCTCAAACCAGAAAGGCTGCAGAGACATACACTTGCTCCTATGCACTCATGGCATAGGAGAAAGAGACACTTAAGTGTGGAAGTTCCTGGTTAGCTGTAAGAAAGACCTTCCCAGTGGTAAGTACTGTTAGAGTCTGGCATGGATTAGTAGCAGAAGCTGTGAAAGTTTCTTTGAAAGCTAGAGAGAATAAATAGACCTATAGATTAAAAAAGGAGCTGTAGTAGCACTGTGGCTAAAGCACTGGGCTGCTAAGCAAAAGGTCGATGGTTCAAAGCCACCAGCCACTCTATGGGAGACAAACGAGGCAGTGTGCTTTCATAAAGATTTACAGCCTTGGAAACCCTATGGGGCAGTTCTACTCTGTCCTACAGGGTCGGTATGAGTCCAAATCTACTGGCAGTGAGTTTGGTAGTGGGTATAGAATCAAAAGAGATGGATTCTCTTCCTACCAAAGACAGGAAAAGGGATCTTGCTAACTTCTAAGTTTTCTTTCAGTTTGTAACTTTTCAACTTGTACTTTCATTGACTAAATATAAAATTGTAGTTGACTGTATTAAGAGGGTTTTAAGAGGCTACATCTAGCTGTCCTTTGCATTCCAGTTAGTGAAGACTCACCTCATGATATGCCAACTAACTCCTCTATGTAGCTAGAAAGGACCTCAAACCTGTAATCAGATCCTGCCTCCCCTTACCCAAAGAAGAAAGAAACCGCAAATGGCAAAGGCAGGCCTCCACAGGAAGTGGCAAAGGAACCAGCTTTCAGGCAGTCATCTAGCATATCTGCGTATCAAACACAGTTCTTGTTCAGACCTTTAATTAAAATAAAGAACAAAAACCTCCAAATGTGTTACAGTAAAAATTAATTTAAACTATTTACATGGCAGTATGCTGAGGGCTAATGCTATGTTTTCTGTTCTAAGTTTTGTGTATTCCATTTCTTTCTAATCAAATAGTTAAATTACTGAAGCAGTGAGTGAATGTAACACTTTCGATCTTTTCTTATGCCTGTGAAGTCACAAAGTGGCAAATTAAATGACCCACAAGTTGGCTGTAATTTATTTTCAAAAGTTTGCAGAGCTATACTTGCCTGTTGTCTAAGGAAAACATGGAATCATTTAATTTCTCCCCATCAAGATTAGAAACAACAACTATGATGTACAGGTAACAAAGTCCCTTCTGAAGGAAGGCCAGATCATTTGAGACAGTTAACCTCTATTCAGATCATCTGAATGAGGGAGGCAACAGCTCAATACTCAAGCTGCATAGGTCAAAAGACAGAGATGAGCATCTGCATATTTAAATCAGCAGTGTCCACAGCATCTCACAATCCTCCTAGTGGCCAAATGGGGAACTGGCCAGATGGTACCCAACGGGATTTCACACCTGAGGGATCAAGGGAAAACTAAGCAAACACCACCTCCCCCAAAAAAGGCCATCATGGACCCTTAACAAATAAATAAATAATAAATGGCACTGAACGGACACTTCTCATGACACATCAACACTGCAGACGTTAGACAGTTGTTTTACATGCAACAGTAAGCAATAAAAGCTAATAAAACCCGTAGACACATTGCCTTAAAAGTCGTTCCGTTTTACTTTGCACACTGCCTCTGTTCCTAAAGTCAAATGTGAAATCGAATGGACAGCTACCTAAGCATGACCATCCTTAAGAATAATGAGATGGAAAGAAAGGTAAAAGATTCAGGTTTCCTAGGGGTTCTACCAGAAAAGGACGGACGCTTTGTCGGTCAGGAGGACGAGGGTAAGAGTCCTCGGGAGGGGCCCAAAGCCTCCCCACTCTCCTTACTTAACGCGCTCCCTGCTCTCCCACAGGTGTTAGGTTGCAGCTTTCGGGGCACCCCACAGACTTTAGCAAGAAAACCCTGGTGAAAGGCAAGCTTTAAGAGAAGAGGGTGCACTCCCACCTCCAGCTCTGGTGCGGTTCCCACGGAGCGAAGCAAACTCGCCTGAATCCAAGTGATTTTATCTGCCAAAAAGGAGAGGACAAAAAGCTGGTCACGCAGCCGCCTCACCGTTCACCATGTTCCCACTTCTGTTTGGCCTGGAGTGTGTGCCTAATCGGCCGATGTTCCCTCTTGCTGCTTCAAGCGGGAGTACAGGTAAATTCCCAGGAATTATCAGACAAGTGCCAGAGGTCTTCCGAAGAGGCGCAGACTAACCCTCAGACAACAGTCTTCTCAGAAGTCTAAATTTAGCAGCTTTCCTCCGAGACCTCGACTCCCGCACTGATACCCCGGGGTCTGCCCTCCCACGCCCATCCTCCTCTCCCCGTAGCTCCACCCAAGCCTGTCAGACGCCGGCTGCGCTGCCCGGCGCCCCGGGCCGCGCCGAGGAGGCCGGGCCCGCGGCGGGGGCTGCGGAGGCCCACGCGGGGAGGGCTGCGCCGCCGACGCCCCTACTGCGCCCGAGCCCGCCGCCGGGTCAGAAGGGGAACGGCAGCGGGGGCAGCCAGTGCAGTGCGGCCTCGTCTCTGGAACCACGGAGGGAGGGGCCTAGGCTGAGCCCCCTCCCGGCCACAAGGAGTCCCTCGCCCCCTCCTCAAACACAGACAGACAAAAGGACAGACAGTTGGCGACGAAGACGGGGGCGAGGGGCCCCTGCATCCTCAGTCTGGGCCCATAGGGAAGGAGTCGGGGTTTTTTTTACCCGACGCCTCGGCGCTCCGCTGCGCTTTAGGCCCCTGGGCCCCGCCTCCGGACAGACAGACCGCGGGACAATGGGCCCCGGGCCGCAGCTCAGGCCCAGCCAGACCGCGCCTCTCCGTGACAGGGCCCCGGAGGGCGGCTCCGGGCCGAGCTGGTGGCAGATAGCTGAGGGGCGGCGCTGCAGACGGACAAAGCACCGGCAGACAGACAGACAAGAGGGGGAAAAGATGGCGACGCGGGCGGCGGGAGCGCGCTGCCCGCGCACCCGCAGTGAGTGGGCGCGTGCACGAGCTGCGCCTCTCCCCCTCCCCCAGCTCTGGCTTCGTCCCCCTCCCCGCTCCCCAGGCGCGCGCCTGCGGTGTGGGCGGGGCCTGAGGAGCGGGGTCTGGGGAGGCGGTACTTAAGGGAGCATCCAATCATAGACATCTGCGAGGCCTCGCCTCCATCCAGGAGCTAAGGAGACCACCGAGCTTCGCAGCGTCCTTCTGTCTTTCTCTGGCCCTCTCGGCCCCTCAGCTCGGCTACCCTAAACCCGCCCGAGGCCTGTAAACTCCACCCCGGTTATCAGCTCTGATCCTGGTTTCCTACCCCACCATCGAGTTCAGCCACAAAACCCACATCCCCCAACCACAGCCCCACCGCAGGCTCCCTCCTTAGCCCAACCGTCGTTTTCCACCCCCCTCCACCAACCACAAACCCCGCTTCCTTCATTCCCCCTACACGCCACGGTCTCTTTGGCCCCCCAAGACATAATAGGACGAAGGCAGAGGATCACGGGGCTTTGTGGGCGGGGCTAAATTCAGCTGTCAAAACCTCGGGAGAAAAATCTTTAGATTTCTTGCAGACACGTAAGTCTCCAATATGATTTTCAACTAATAAAATAACGTAGCTTTAGATGCAGGGCAAAAGAGTCACTTAGAGCAGGGTAACTAGTGGCATATAAGTGGTATGAGAGGCAACTCCCTTCCTTATAAAGCGCCGCCTTTCACCTTCCCTTTCTCTACTCTTTCCCCACTGCCTGCCTTGCCTTCCTCTCATTCTTCTTAGTATAGAGTAAGACACTGCCTACTTGGAGAAAGGGGGAGTGTGGTGGAAAGGAGATGAGATCCAGCTTTGAGTCCTCGCTGTGCTACTGACCATGCTGTTAACTTTGTTTGGGCAAATCACTTCTTAATCCCGAGCCTCTGCTCCTAATGGGAAATAGATAATAATTCCTGGCCTCCAATCTCACAGGGTTGTGCCAATCAAGTAAAATGAGTATCTGAAAGCATTCTACAAACATCCCTTATGGTTACTGGCCCCTAAAAGGCAGAAATAACGAGGATGCTGACCCGTGTTTGCTGGGTAAAAAGTCCTGGTATTTGCATAAAACACTCTTGCAAAATGTCCTTCCCTCGAATCTACAATGAGTTGATACCATTGCACCATGTGTTTAATGTGACAGAATGGCTGTATTGAAGGATCTTGGTCCTTCTGAGTTCTATGATAAATAGCTTATCCACACACATTTACTCATTAAGAATTATTATTGTTTTAATTTCAGTAGAGGAAATGTTTAAATTTCTTTTAAAAAATTTTTATTGTGGTAAAATATATTAAAACATCTCCATTTTATCCATTTTTAAGTGTAGAACTCGGTGACATTACATTCACCATGGTGTGCAACCATCACCACTCTCCATTTCCAAATGTTTTTCATCACCCCAAGCAGAAACTCAGGACCCCTTAAGCAGTATTCCCCTCCCCCAAAACCATAATATGCTCTTGTCTATGCATTTGCCTATTCTAGGTTTTAGTTTCATTTAAAATTTTAATTTCTTCAGAAGGAGCTCTGCATGTGACTGCTAACCAAAACACTGGCGGTTCAAACCCACCAGCCACTCCTTGGAAGGAAGGTTGGGCAATCTACTTCTGTAGTGATACCACCTCGGAAACCCAAGGAAGATCGCTATGAGTTGGATCCAAATCCACGGCAGTGCATTGCGTTGTGTATGTGTTGCATTGCGTTAGAAAGTTAGAAAATGGAACATGCTTATTCAACCACCAAGTTTTTAGACGGTTTTGTGTGAAAACGCAAGCTGGAGAAAACATTGGCTTTTAATAAGTTACTCTCGATGAGTTTAGACTGAGGGATACAAATATGGCTGTATTTTGTCATTTTTAAATTGACATGGTTGACATTTTCAACAGGTAAAGGATTAGGAGAAAGCCTCCAATCTTCCGGGTTCCATTGATAAGTCACTGTGTAAAGGTGACTTACATTTTTTTAAAATATATTTTATTTTTGTTTTTTGGCATTGCAAATATTATAGGTTCGTAATAACGCTATTCTTAACGACTTTCTTGTACTTCTGAGGTATGACTAAGGTTAAAATTAAATAAAGGAAAACTGACTAAATGGGGAACTAGTTTAGATTTCCTCTCCTCTCACCTAACCTTGCTCTGGAAGGCATTTTCATTAATCATGTACTTCTTTCAGCTTTACTTTTTATTTCTACTTTCCCAATCTCTTCACAGTTATGTTCTTATCTTGTTATTTCAACTATATCAACTTCCCCTTGAAATATCTTCCTACTCCATTTTGTATTTAATGGCTACTAAGGCATCTGACTGCTAACCAGAAGGCTGGTGGTTCAAACCCACCAGCCACTCCTTGGAAGGAAATTTGGGCAATCTACTCCTGTAGAGATACGGCCTCAGAAACCCAAGGAGAGGTCGCTGGGAGTTGGATCCGACTCCATGGCAGTGGGTTTGGGTTTTGGTTTTTTGGATGATGACTTGTAAAGAGCTCTGGTGGTACAGTGGTTAAAGCACTCACTTGCATTTCTCAATGGGAGAAAGATGAGGCAGTCTGTCTTTGTAAAAATTTACAGCCTTGGAAATCCTTTGCAGGCAGTTCTACTGTGTTCTCTGGGGTCACAGAATCAACTCGATGGCAGTGGGTTTGGTTTTTTTACAATGACCTTGTCAGGGCTTTACGAGAAAACAACAGTAATAGAAGAATTTTAAGAATCTCATTTTTTTGTAATTCAGATATAATCAATTATAAAATTCACCCCTTTGAAGTATACAATTCAGTTCTTTTTATTATATTTACAGGTTTGTGCCACCATCACCACTAATTTGAGAACACTCTGCTGCTAACATGGTCAGTGGCTGGAACCCACCAGATGCTTCGTGGGAGAAAAGACCTGGTGATCCATTCCTGTAAAAATTCACAGCCCATACAAACAACAAATATGAACCCCTTTGTAAATACAATACTGAGTTGTTAATGAAAGCAAA